GGGGGTTCCACCGCCGGGAGGACAGGAGTCCTGGTTTATGAAGGTAACAGGTCACAGAAACTTATCTGCTGGATCGGGATATTCTAGAGTCAGCCCGATTTCAAGTCACCCGAGTCGAGCGGTGTAATTAGATCGAACTTCGTCTCCTGCAATTCATGGCCAAGCGAGCCAGTCAGTCTCGGCAAAAGTAAATAAAAACAAAAGACCATTTCCATCCACGCAGCTTCCTCCTCCGGCGTGTGCGTATGTGAGAAGGAACAGGCCCAGCTAGCTGTATGCGATGTACATATGTTGATATATATCCCTAGCAAAATTGGACAAGAATGCACAATGTGGACGAATGACAAGTATCTGGTTGTTATGTCTTGCAGAAGGATTGATACAATGTCATGCAAATACAATAGCGCCTAGATGAAACATCGTAGACAGTCTTCTCGCGTCCATATTCAAGACATCTGCTTTTGTGCCCCCTATAAACAAGGCATCCCAGACTCATCATCATTACCTTCTTGCTCAACCTCAAGGAACGCCCCAACACCGGCCCTTGCCAAAGCCATTCCAGCCACACCATTTCCCATGCATCCCACAAACCCAGAAATTCCCCAAGCTTAGTCCTTCATCTGAACATCGGCCTTCTCTTCCTCCGTAGAGCTCTTCCCCAAGTTCTTCAACAGGTAACTCCTCTTGAAGTACTCGTTAGGATGGACAAGAGTCTCCAGCTGCGAAGTCGTCCAGGTACCATCATCCTTGACTCTCTTGATCTCTTGTTTATGCACATAATCGAATACCCTAGCAAGAAATTTAGCATTGTATAGAGCCATACGGGTGCCACAGGGGAAAGTGTCTTACCTGTTACAAGCCAGATGATACTTCATCTTCTCCTTGTCCTCCTTGACCCCCCTCAACACCTCCTGATCCTTGATACCTACGGCCTGCAATAGCCCGGTCAGATTATCCACACTGAAGTGCCTATACGGACATCCATGCGCCTCTCCGGGTCCAGGCGGATGTTCCGTCAGAATCTTCTGGCACGAGAACGGGCTGTACCCATTCCCTCTCCTGTTAGAATCGCCGCCTACATCACCATAGGCGTGACGAACGTTGTATCTGTATTCCTTGTTGAATACGTCGTCGGTGATCTTGCTGAATGAGGAGCGCCAGAAGACGAGACATTCTTCGAGGTTGAGGCCAATACCTTTGAGGAAGAGCGTGTATTGGAGACGACCGTAGTGCTTGAGATGAGCGTCGCGGCGGAGCGAGCGGTGCAGGTTTTGCATGCAGAGCGGGAAGGAGGAAGAGAGGGTGTCGATGTTTCGTGCTGAGATGTCGGCACCAGGAAGAGCGGTTGCCGAGCTTGAGTAGTTCGCATCTGGGGTAGTGAAGTTCTGGGAAAGATGGGCTAGGATAGGCGTTAGGCGGTCGTCCTCGTCGAGCCGGGGAAGGGCACGAGATGTCATCTTGTAGAGTGAGCACAATCCCATATCAATCAGAACCAAAGCATACCTCAAGAGCCTTCTCCAGCCGAGTAGTGAATTCCGCCACAACCATGGACAGCTGTTCCTTACCAGGAACATACGCCTTCCCACCCTTCACAAACACCCTCCTATGCTCTACCAACTCGGGCACTCTCTCCCAGTCGACCTTGAAGTAACTCTCCTCCTCGATCCTCTTCGGGTATCCTCCACCCGCAGCCCTCAACTCCTCCGCGTACTCCCTCCTCTCATCATCACTCACGGTCTCCCAGTCCAAATTTAAGCTCTCCACAAACAACTGCCGTTCCCTCAAGTCATCAGCCTGAAACCTCAGCCGGAAGAGCATAGACTCGACGCGCGAAAACCGTCTCCGCAGATCCTCTGTTGACGCAAACGCAAGCCGCAGAATGAAATGACTGTAGTGGTCCTTCTGTCTCTCGGACTGTATAGCCATGGATCCGGATGTAGAGGTCGCGAGCGGTAAATACTTGTCAAGTAAGGGTTTCATGTGCGTTGCTGTCTCGGTGGGGGATTTGTTCCGAAAGGAGCAGGCTTCGAGTTCGGCCAGGACTGTGTCCATTAGCAGCCGAGTCAGGTCTATGTGGTTGCAGAGACATACTTCGCAGACGATCGATAGCCCACTGCTCGAACTGCTCGAGCGTAATGTCTGCCGTGGGCGGGGTGACATAAAAGTTCAATCTGTGGTGGTATTCGAGATTCTGGTATGCGGGCGTCGCGAATTGCTTTTTCCTGTAGTCCATCCCCTTCCTCTTTGAATCGATACGTGCGAAGTCTTGTCTGATCATGATGGCGGTTTTTGGTGTATCTCGTGTGAAATGCTGAAGTCTGTTGGGCACTCGTACAAGATCGGTCGGACGCGGAAGAAATTCGAGGGACGTGATTCAGACGCGGTTCGACGCGCCAGGAAGAGCGGGTCCAATCAATGTAGCCGAGCCGGCGAAATGATAAGTGGAATTGCAGCAGATGATAAGGTAGTAATAGTCAGTGCGCTGACTTTGTGACCTGCGGGCTCTCGGTCATAATCAAGACAAGCAAGTGTCTCAAGTCAAGCAAGTGTCCCACTTCAAATTGCTATTCTATAGTAAATCGCATACAATTCTATTACACTTGCAATAGCTATTTTTCCCTTAACATTTCTTTAATTATGCTTCCGCAAACTTCAAAAGCTCTTGTAGCTCTTAATTATTACGGCCGCTATGCTACTAAAAAAGAATACGACCGCGCCTTTCAAGAAGCGCGCGATTAGGCCTTAGAAGATATGGAAACCGATAATAAAAAAATAAAACGACCGAAAAGCGAATGTGCTGCTACGTCAGCACGTATATTCGGAGTCAAAGAACTTGCTTTACGAAAAGCTGTATACCGAGCTAAAAAGAAAAAGCGCAATCTTATTACAAGTCAATTCAATCGATAAAAAGGAAATAATCAGATTTTATTGCAAGAGCAAAAAGAAGCGATCCGACAATATTGCTACGAGCAATAAGAGCTTGGTTTAAAAGCAACTCTTTTAATAGTACGCGCTAGAATCAATCATTTAAGAGCAATAAGTATTATTATTTTATTTTATTTATAATTATCAAATCGCTTTTAACGTCGTATAAAAACAATAGCTTTCTCTTTCTCTTGTGTTGGATTGCTTCTAAGCGATTGGGAATATATATTCGTAAGGTCGTAACGGTCGTCAAAGTACTTGCAATTGCAAAACACTCGGTTAATAAGGTATCTGAATTCTGTCTGCTCCTTAAGGCTCAAGGGAGCTGATTCCTTCTATACTATTAAAAGGAATTACGTGCACTAGCTAGCTAATAAGTTTACTTGTCAAGTTAAGGGTCCCTTAACTGCTAATATGCTAAGCGAAGCATGCCAAGTGGCTCGTAAACCATAGTTCACGGGTGAGCTTCTTTAATTACTACTATTACTACTACTACTAGCTAAAGTCGATATAGATATATCGACACCGGCAACTTTCTTTTTAGCAAATAATGCTTTATTAACTACTATATCGATCGAAAAAAGAAAGAAAGTAATTAAATAAAAAAAAAACAATCTCCTTTTTCTTTTTATAGCGGCCTTTCCATTTATCTATCGACTTACACTCTTAAGGTATTAGTCAAAACTAGCTCTTGCAAAAAGATATTAGCTTCGATTTTAATTATAGCGTTAGCAAGGTTAGATTTGCTTCCGATCTAGCGTACTTTAAAAAGCTCTCGCTTTTCGTATGACTCTCGAATAGCTATAATATCGATTATTAAGCGCTTCTCTTTAATAGTCCTTAGTTTTACTATGCACTCGTAAAGCGAATAAGAGTTAATGCATACGATTATAAGAAAATTAAGGATTCTTAGCTAAGCTATGATTTAAGCAAAAGTAATCGATATAGCAATAGCTATATCGATACTTAAGGATATCGCGTATAGCTTAAAAGCTAATATTGCTTTTATCACCTTCTTGCACTTTTATAACACTTAATATAAGATGTTACTCGTTAAAGTGAACTCGTTTTTATTTACGTAAGCCTTATTGCTAAAAATAGCTACGAAACCGATTTAAAAACTAAAGTTAGCGTTATTAGCAAACGCTCCGTCTACGAATACAAAAAGCTTCGCAGTCTTTAAGTCTAAAGGCACGTAATAAATCCTTCGAGTTAAGTAATCGATCAGCTATTAAATCACTTTATTAAAGGCTTTATAATCCTCGTCTTTCGGTTCTTAGTGCTAAGCGGCTATCGATAAAGCGCAAGATGCCTTTAAATAGCAAATAGTAGCTAAATACGCCTTTCGAGCACGTTGCTTCAAGTACTCTTTAGCTCGTATAGCTAAATCGAGCTTGATCACTACAAGCCTTTTACCCTGCCCTTTTTGCCTAACTAATAGTCCGAACCCTTCCTTATTTAAAGATAACTTGCATTTATTAAAAATCATTAGCTCGGCGTATATAAAGGTTTCTATTTCTTTGCTCCTTAGCTTAGATTTAACCAGCTCCTTCTCTTTTTTTATCTTTATAGCTAAATTAACAACCATAAGAACATCATCCGTTTATAAAGCAGCTATTTTTAATTGATCTTTATTAATTAATATAAAAAGGCAAAAATCAAAGCTCGATTGCTTTATCTCGAAGTTATCTGTAAAATGCTTTAAAAAACGCTTATACTAATGCGTTCCTGCTTCGAGGATCTTATATAAAAAGCCAATCATAAGGAACAAAGTGCCGAAAGGAAATCGATAAGTGATCTTCTTAAGTGGTCGCACGACGATTATTCAAATAAGCTTCGTGCTTAATTAAATGTAAGCTTAAATGATATCTTTGTTATAAACTTAATACTCGTAATCCTTTATTAAAGAAAAAGCTAAAGCATAACAAAGTCTTTAGCCCGCTCGCTGCACCGTAAATGATTCGATAAGTACTTTCGTTTTGCTTTTATTTTAAAAAGCTTAAACTATTATACGAAACTTCTTATATAACGTAAGTGTTCTTTTGCTTTTAATCTTATTAATAAACTTAAATCCGAAGATCTTAGCGCCTTTAGCGCGTAAGTCGATGCCCGAGATCACTTAAAAGATGCTTTAAGCTATTAATCCAATTAATTCTTTTGCTTTAAACTTTTGAAATAATGCTTCGGAATTCTTAATGATTCCTTCGGCTCGTAGCTTAGCTAAAAGCTTATAGTCCCGGCGTTTTTTATCGATAATCAACACCTCGGAGTCTTTAATAAATAAAACGTAAAAATCGCTTTTTTTTTCGTCGAGCACGATCAAGATATTAAAATCGTACTTTTAATAAAGTATCTAAACTATTAGTATTATTAACTTTTAAAGATTAGCAAATTAAAGGTTAAAAGGGCTATTTGTTAATTTTAACGAGCTCTTTGAATTAAGCGACCTCGGTAGATTAAGCGAATATTAAAGTTTAAGCGAATTTCGTATTTCTAATTCTTTTTCGCTTTCGCTTTAATTATCTTTTACCTCTTCTTCTACCTCTTTTTTTACTTCTGCTTCAAGTACTTGCAACTCCTTTAACAGCTTTTCAACTTTAAAATAATAAGGTTTTATTAAAGTTGACTTAAATTCCGTAGGCCTCGGACAAGCCATTATGCACGTATGCCCTTGCTTGCTAAGCAGCTAAAAAGGGCCTTTTTACCTTTGGTTTTCCCGCTATACGAGCATTCGTAAGCTAATAAGAAAGTTTAAAGTATGCTCCGTAATTAAGCTATTCTTCTTTTTAAGCGCGTCCTTAACCTACTTCGCAGCGTAGCATTTTCGTACTTCTTTTATAGCTTTATTAATAGCAGCAGCACGCTTTTAAATAAACGCGGCAAATCGATCTTGCTTCGTTAGCCTCGATAAGGTCTTAAAAACGAAAAGTATAAAAACTAAGCTATTAGGTCTAGCTATATCGTTAATAGCTTTAATAGCCATTTAAAGCCGGTCCTCTCTTAAAGCTTTTAGAAGCTCTTTTATAACGATCTTAAAAGCGCGTCGCACAAAGACGTAGTAGCGTTCTACTAGCCCGACGCTATAATAAGCTTCTATAAGTATCTGCTTTAAAATGCTATTAATACTTTTAAAATAGCTTCGAAACGTTGCCGAATTAAAGTTGGTTCTAGGATCGTGCATTACGTTTATAAAAAGTCCGACGTAAATATTGATTTAATATCGATTAAATCCTTTAAGTAAGTGCTATGCGGATATGCTTTTAAAGAAAATAGCGGCTTAAAAATTAATAGAATCGCAAACGACGTATAATACGTTTTTACCGTCAAAATGCATTACGTTTACGTATACCGTATTATTAAAATCAGTATCGTCTTTAAATCTAATATTAAACCTCCTCGAAGAGCGTCCGAATACTTAATAATAATAGCAAAACTTTTAGATATTATAAAGCAAATCTCGCTTAAATTCGTGCCCGGCCCTTTTAAGAACAGCAGCAAATCGATCTGCTAAAAGGTAGCTAAAACGCTTATAAATAATCTTCAATTATTCTTCCGTAAAATAATAATAAACAGTTTCGCCTTCGGTATTATAATAAATAGCAGCGTGCTTCTTACTTAATAGCATTTATACGTGCCCAAATATCCTTATTACTAGTATTTCCTTTTTCCTTTAAACTAACACGTTTCGCAAGTTATCTAAGATCACTTTATGCTTGTTTATATCAGCTAATAAAAATAAAAAAGGTACGTCGCTTTTTACAACGTAAAACTCTACTTGACCTAAAAAGGTATCTAAGGTAATTGCTTTAATAAAAATAGCAAAGCCGATGCCGTATTTAACGGATTTCTCCTTTGCTCGAAATGTATTTAATTAGACCTCGAAGTACCTTTTTTAAAGTGCTCGTAGCTAAAGCAAGCTAGCGGTAAAAAAATTAACTGCTCCGTTATTAATTATAAAGCTTATAAAAACGTTTTTAAAGTACTTAAAAGCTATATAAGTCTTTACTTTACCCGCGGGCACGTTTTAAATCTCGATTTAACTAATAAAAGCGTAAAATGCCGTTTGAATTTCCAGTTATTTATATACTTCGTCACCGTTAAAAGTACCGTAAATAATTATAAAACCTTTTAATATATTAGCGTAGCTGCTCGATTCGAGCGGCTCGTTTAATAAGCTTACGATAAACTAATCGAATTCTTCCGTGAATATAAATAACACGCTTTTAATCGATGCTACGTATTAAAAGAATTTGCTTTTCGTCATTTTTTTTGCGTTTTTAAAAGCTTAAAACTTAGCGACGGATGCCTTTCTTTCGTCGAAGGTATAGTTAATGCTTTAGCAACCTAGCTTTT